AGGTTTAATATTTTCCTTGGGATGTTTCCACTTAATGCGTTTTTGAAGTTCAGTTAGATATTCTGTTTTCCATCGCCTACAGAAGGTTTGATTTAGTGCTTTGAGTTTTGCCACCGATTCACTATGGAGGCAGGAGTTTCATTAACGTCTAATACTGGTGGGGCTAGAAGATGTCCACCAATGAGAAAATGGCCTGGAGTAAGCGGCTCCAGGTCAGTAGGGTTATTTGAAGAGGGACTCAGTGGCCGTGAATTGAGGCACGCATAAAAGAGTACTAAGCTCTTCAAAGGTGTATTTGTGGGCGGACGCAATTTTTCTAAAGTGGCTTTTGAAGCTTTTTACGCCCGCTTCCCACAGTCCTCCCATGTGAGGCGCTGCAGCGGGTATAAAATGCCACGTCAGCATTTGATGATTGTATTTCGAGATAGTTTTTTCTCGGGTTTCAGACAGAAAAGCTTTAAATTCAGATCGTAAGGATCGTGAGGCTCCGACAAAGTTAGTGCCGTTGTCGGAGTAGATATGTCGCGGACATCCTCTTCTAGCCACGAACCGTGCGAACGCCGCTAGAAAAGATGGGGTACTAAGATCACTAGTAGCTTCTAAGTGAATCGCTTTAGTCGTGAAACAAACAAATAAACAGACATACCCTTTAGAAACTCGACAACCTCTGCCGCGTTAACTTTTAACATCAAAAGTTCCAGTAAAATCTACCCCCGTATTTGTGAAAGCGCGAGTAAATGTAGTGCGTTCCTGAGGAAGAGTTCACATAAGTTGAGTTTTTTGACCGTTTTTTAAAGATAATACATGTCTTACAATTATGGAAAGTTGACCTGATCATGTTCTTGACTTTGGGAATCCAGTATTGGGTACGGATGAGGCGTAGCATCAGTTGATTTTCTCCATGCAAGGACAATAAGGCGGCACAACCTGCTTTTATACGGGATAATGCTTGGGTGGCGTTCGTTGTATGCTAAGTCCTGGGATGCTCCAAGGCGACCTCCGGCTCTGATAATGTCATGTTCATCGATGAACGGATTAAGCGGAAAGATTTCACTCTTTGCATCGATTGGTTTTTTAGACTTCAAGTTTGCGTATTCTTCACCATAATAATGCTTCTGGTAGATTTTTATCAGGGTCTGTGTCGTTGTTTTAATTTCATTAGATGAAATTAAACAAGAGTTTTCCTGAAATGAATCTTTTGTTTTCGAATGAGTTCTTCGATAAAATCTCATAAGATATGATAAAACTCTCAAAGCTCTCGGTAGATCGGAAAAACGGTCAAGAATATCGATATTATTTGCTCTTGTTGTCGCATAAGTGTGTACTCTTTTTTCTTCGACTTCTGTATGATAGTCTGTTCCTTGAGCGGGCCACTTGGAGTTGTCTTCTTGCAGCCAAGAAGGTCCCTGCCACCACAAAGAATTGTTGACCAATTCTGACGCAGGTAGTCCTCTGCTAGCCAAGTCGGCGGGATTTGAGGCCGAGTCTACGTGTAGCCAGTCCTTTTCCCCTACTTTTTCTACGATTTTCGTGATTCGGTGGGCGACGAAGGTTGACCAAGAACAAGGCGGGTTTCGTATCCATGCGAGTACGATGGTCGAGTCCGTCCATAGATGTGTCTTCACTGGTCCTAGGTTTAGGTTGTTGATTATAGATTCTATGATTTCTGCGAGCAGTACAGCTCCGCAAAGCTCCAGTCGTGGTAGCGATATAGTTTTGACGGGGGCTACTCTGGTTTTTGCCAAAAGTAGATTGACCAAAATTTTGCCATCTCTTTTGACACGCATATATGCCGTAGCCGCAAATGCTTTTTCTGATGCGACGCAGAAACCGTGTATCTCGGTGGTGTCTCCAGGTGAGAAGTATACCCATCGAGGTATTCTGATATTATCTATTTCGTGGTAATGTCTCGTAAAATGCTGCCAACGTTCTAAAATAGTAGCAGACACAGTCTCATCCCAGTCTGTGCCTTCTAGCCAAATACTTTGCATAAGTATTGTGGCTACGATGACTATTGTTGCGAGCCATCCCAGCGGATCGAAAAGCTTGGCGATAGCTGACAGTATCGCCCTTTTCGTAATAGTGTCGTACTCCTCCAATGGTCTGGCAATAAAATAAAATAAATCCGTATGGGCATTCCATTTTATGCCCAGAGCCTTAACCGTGCTGGTGTCTTCGAATGCTAAGAAATGTTCGCTAAGAAGGTCCGTTTTTGGGATGTCTTTAAGAATTTCCTCACAATTTGAGGTCCATTTCCGTAGTGGAAAACCAGCTGATCGTAACACTTCTGAGATTTCATCTCTTGCTTTAATGGTAGAGTCGACGGTATGTCCTCCAGCTAACACGTCATCCACATACATGCACTTTCGTAGGATGTTAGATGCTATTGGGAAAGAACTCTCTACATCGTCAGCTAATTGCAGAAGTGTCCTTATCGCGAGGTAAGGTGCGCTATTAATCCCGACAGTGACAGTCTTTAATTCATATAGACTTACAGGTTCGTTCGGGTTTGTACGATAAACTATTCGCTGGTATTTGGTATGGTTGTTATTCACCCAAATTTGGCGGTACATCTTCTCGATGTCGCTATTAAAAACGTACCTATATAATCTCCAGCGGAGTATTAATATTGGAAGATCTGCTTGGAGTACTGGACCTGGGTAAAGTACGTCATTTAAACTCTTACCATTAGCCGTCTGGCTTGAGGCATTAAAGACGACCCGAACTTTCGTAGAGGTGCTTTCCGCCTTTATCACAGCGTGATGGGGTAGAAAGTAGTTATCGGAAGAGTCTGCTGAAATGCTGCCATTTATTCTGGACATGTGTCCCAGTGATTCATATTCTGTTAGTACCCTATTATACTCCTTTTACAGGACGGGATCCTTTGTAAGCCGTGTCTCATTCCGGAAGAACTGAGAGCATGCTTTTTTAAGAGAGGGGCCTAGGCAAATGTTTGCTGGAAATTCCTTCCTAAATGGTAGCGAGACTACATATTTTCCATATGGGTTTCTCTCAGTCGTTTTCCGATAAAGCTCTTCACAATACTTGTCGTCTTCGTTTAAATTTTTGTTTTTCGGTATATCTTCTAGTTCCCAGAAAGCTGTTAGTTGTTTATCCAAGGCAACTTCGCTATGATAAGAAACTATGTTGTTTGTTGGATTTGGTGCTTCTGTGCAACCGGTTAAAATCCAACCGAACACGGTTTCTTGGGCAAGAAGTGTACTGAGAACATTTTTCTTCAAGCCGCACAAAATAATTTGGGGATAAATGTCTCCGCCAAGTACTAGGTCTACTTCTTCGTTAACGTAGAACCTTTTATCTGCTAAAATCAAATCTGGAAATGCCTGCATAGTCATAGCGCTGATATGGCAGGATGGAAGATTTCCAGTTAATTTTGTCAGCACGAGCACTGTTGCATGTAGGCTAAACAGTAGGTCAACAGGGGACCGTAGTTCTATGTTGCATGCCTCCTTGACCTGAGCAGAAGTTGAATTCGTGATGCCTGAAACTTTGGCATACATATTCTTAGATGGCAGGTTGATTCTGCGTTTGAGTCGTTCTGTTATAAAGGAACACTCAGAACCAGAATCAATGAGTGCTCGTGCTGAAAAATCTGTACCATTGAGATGTATATTTACACGAGCCGTTCCTAAAAGTACACCTGAGTTCATATTTACATAATTAGACTTAACGTTTTTGCTTTTACCGGAGTTAGTTTTATTGAAGTTACGCCTTGCTGCAGCTTGTTTCGAGGTTGAGGCAACATCTTTGGCAGAGCTCGGTGGCGTTTGAGGCAGTGTTGCCTTTGGCGGAATTGTCTGGGTGTGAAGGAGCGAATGATGTCGCGAGTGACACGTGCCGCAATTGAAAGGGCTTGTGCATCTTGATACAGTATGTCCAGAACTCAGACAATTCAGGCAAGCATTGTTGCTCTTTAAAAACTCTATCCTTTCAGTTGGCGTTAGCTTTAGGAAATGGGAACAGCGGCGTAATTTGTGTTCATTTGTTTGGCACATTTTACATGTGTACTTGGTTACGTTTGTTTGGAACGCGCCAAGTCTTTTTGTGGGGGCTTCTGAGGGATGTCTGGTGTTTTGCGGCTTTGACGCTTTTACAGACTTTGTGCCTTTTATGCCTGACATGGTTTCCAAGGTTTGAAACCTATTCGATAGGAACTTGTCCAAGTCTTCCCACTTTGGTAAATCTTTCTTATGGTCTATGGTTTGTTCCCATAGAGCCAGCGTACAGTCGGGAAGTTTAGTTGAGCAAAGATATACAATAATTGCATCCCAATTCGATATGTCAATGTTGTGGCTCTTGAGGGCTGATAAGCAATTATTTATATCGCGCTGCAACTTCTTCAGTGAGCTACCACACTCACTATCTATAGAAATTAGATTAAAAAGAATTTTTAGTTGCTTATTTATGATACGCTTATTTTCATAACTCTCACACAGGTTATTCCAGGCCGTTTGAAAACCTTCATTGGTGAGTGGACATTTTCTTACTATGTCTTTGGCTTCCCCTTGAGTCTTCTGATTCAGGTGAAATAGTTTCTCAACAGGGGTGAGTCGCTTGTTGAGGATGTATATGGCTGTGAACATGTCACGGAACGCTGGCCATGACAGATAGTCGCCCTTGAACACATCTGTGTCACACGGAGGGAGGTGAATATTGTGTTCACGAACCGACTGATCTTGTACATCCTTCTCTGCGTTTACAAGCGTGTCAGACTGACTAGCCATTGCCGACATGCATTTGACATAGCTGGAAAACGAGCCCTTATGTTTCCGTCTAATTGCTTTAATGTCATCTTTAGAAATTCCTTCATTATTTATGATCGCGTCATAAGCTACTTTGGTCTTTTCCCACAAAGCCTTTAGTTCGTCTTGCTGTATTGCAAGGCCGTGTTTGTTTTGCTCTGCGGCTGGTGTGCTACTGTAATCTGATTCAAATTCGATTACAGATTCTGCCAAACGAATAAAGGTTTCCATTGCGGTAATTGATCTTCAGATTACTCTTTACGAATTAAAATTTGTTGTAGTTTTCGAAAGAAGTATGTTCACTATAAGTAGGAATAGTAGTTCACTATAAGTAGTATTTTTTCAGAAAAGTGATAAGCATATGTATGTATATATATGTGTATGTGCTACTCGCCACCCAACACTGCCGACGAAGGTATATATATATATGTATGTATATAT